GGATGTCTCAGCTTCAGACTCTTAAGAAAGCTTCTTCGAATTCCTCCTTGCAGACCTTTGTATAAACCGTAGCTATTTAGCTGCCCTATATCCCATTATCTGAGAACTTTACTCTCCACTAGTCAAAGCTAACCACAAGGTCAGTAGTTCAAACCCACCAGCCACTCTGAGGGAGAAAGAGGAGGCATTCTGTTCCCCGAAATATTTACAATGTCTCAAAAACCCAATGTGGGGTCACTGTAAGTTGGAATTGACTCACTGGCAGTGAGTTAAGTCATAGCTAAAGGAGCCCTGGTGGCATTGTCGGGTAAGTGTTGGGCTGCTAACAAAAGGTTGGTGATTCAAACCCACTAGCTGCTCCATGAGAGAAAGATGAGGCTGTCTGTTCCCATAAGGATTTATAGGAATAAATCATAGCCTCTGAAACCCTATGTTGAGTTGCTAGCCTGATGGACTTTGGGCCTCTACTTAAATTGACCTCAGTACAAGCATGGTTTGTTCTAATAAGGTGGCATTATATGATATTGAAGGGACACAATCACTGAAGACAAATGGGTGCATAAGCAAATGTGGTGAAGAAAGCTGATGGCTCCCAGCTATTAAAAGATATAGACTCTGGGGACTTAAAGGCTTGAAGTTAAACAAGTGGCCATCTAGCAGGGAAGCAAATAAGCCCACGTGGAAGAAGCACACCAGCCTGTGTGATCATGAGGTTTCAACTGGAAGAGGGTATCAGAAGTTCCAAAACAAGCAATCCAATTGACGTGAGGGAGCATGGACGAAGTGGAGACCCAAAACTCACCTGTACAATGAAGTCCCCACCGAAGGGCCACATGGAAGAGATGATAAATCTAGGGAGGGGTACAGCACTGATGAAACACCTAACTATCCTCTAGTTCTTTAATATTTCCTCTCCTTACTATCATGGCCTTTGTTGTACCTCATTAATCTTGTAAGTCCTGCATATATTCATTTGTATAATTAAGATCGTTTGATGGATGAAAATCAAGGTAGCTAACCCTTCAGAAACAATAACGGGAGTAATGATTCCCTGAGGGTATTGGAAGAGAGGGAGGGGAGGAGGAGCTGATATCAATGGTGACTGCACAACCCCACTTGAGGGGAACAAATAACAGAATTGCAGGTGAATGGATACACTGGATGGTGTAAGATACAGAAAAAATGTATATATATAGGAGTACCCCCCCCAAATGGAAACTTTTCTAAAATCATTTTATTGGGGGCTCATACAACTCTTATCACAATCCATACATATATCCATTGTGTCAAGTGCAAATAATTTGTACATTTGTTGCCATCATCATTCTCAAAACATTTGCTTGCTACTTGAGTCCTTGATATCAGCTCCTCATTTGTCCCCTCCCTCATGTACCCTTGATAATTTATAATTATTATTTTGTCAGGTCTTACACTGTCTGACGTCTCCCTTTACCCACTTTTCTATTGTCCATCTCCCAGGGAGGAGGTTATATGTGGATCTTTGTAATTGGTTCCCCCTTTCCACCCCACCCTTTTAATTTTTTTTTACAAAACAATCTTATCACCTTCAAAGTACTCTCCATTACATAATGCATTTGTCAAATCTGTGATTCCATTCTTAAAAATATTTTCAAACTCATCTGGTTTGGATGGCTGACAGCACCTCCCTCGTTTTTTCCTTTACCTCTTCTACCTTGTCAAATCGTCCTTTCATGTCCCTCTTCATTCACAGACAC